TTCGTATACACGAGGCAATCAAACAAACATTTTCATCCTTAATTTCCTCATATATCTTTTAGAAAACTGACTGAGAACGGATGGATGACATAAAGAAATACCAACTATATCAACAAAAAAAATGTAATGAAACATAAAGAAAACAATATTGTTAGATCAAATACGGTAGAGATGAAACAAACAAAATAGACAGGTGTCCTGTAGTAATACTGTTCATGAGTTAGTAGTGTATGCTTTAAAGACCTGTAACATTATGACCTTTGACCTATGCAGGCTCCAGTCATCACGTCAGGATAGTGTTACTATAGCAACATGGAGGAGAAGAGGCCTTAAAGACAGAAACAGGATAAAATGTATTCATGTAGTTAAAAATGTAAATAGCACATGCAAGTAGTAAGACCACCAGGGGATTGTTTTCTTGTGGTCAGAGATATATTTAAAAGAAGATCTAATAACAAGTGTTACCGTTACAGCTGGTTTAGGGAGGAGCTTGAAGCTGCATAAAGGTGGCGCTGTCACTGGGACAGTGATGACTGACTGATGACTCTTCCTTGTTGCACACACCTGATCCTGACAAAAATAAAACAGGAAGTTATTGTTAGAAACTAAAGACAAACTAAACTTTCTAAAAAGGTTTATAATTCACAGTAATGAAATACCTTGAACTCTGCTGCAGAGCAGATCAACATATACGTCCAGTGCAACTGAATACGCTGCATGATGTTGAGCTTCTTTTATGTGTTCAGCCCTCTCTGCAGTCCTGAGTGTCTTCACTGTGAAGTGGAGGAATCACAGAGGAGGAAGACCTGAAGGAAGAAGTGGATATTGTAATGGAAAAATTATATGTAACCCTTTTAAATGCTTCATTTGTATAACCAGTCTATTAATTGCAACTGCTTAGATGACAAAGGCCCTGACATAAGAACTGACGTCTCCCACTTGGATTAGATGTTTCCAGCGTCATAGCTGTAGAGATTGAACAAAGTGTTTGTTATGTCTATGACCGGATTTGTTTTAGCATGTTGGGAGAGCAAGGACACGGTCAAAGAACTGACGTGTCTTACATGGATAAGATGTTCCCAGTACCCTGGCTGTAGATACTCAACAAGATGGTCAAGGTTTCTGTTGACGCCATCGATATCTAAACTTAGGTATAAAAACTGCCTCGATGTGTTGGGGGCAGAAGATGGTTCTTTGACAGTCTACTGACCACGTGGCTGTTGTGACCCTCTTTCCCTTGCAAGGAAATAAACGGAGAAAAGACATACTTGACTCAGAGCCTTTGTTTCTTACTTAACGATTGTCTGTGCAAAATCTTCCACCACAATTTGGTGTCAGAAGTGGGATCTTTTGAAGCTCCGTCGGGACTCCGAGGACGTCCGGGAAGTGGCCACTTCAGGATCCACAACGTGATTCTGCCCTATACCTCATCACACTCAGAGAGAGGGGACCGGCAACCAAATGAGACCTGATTGGCTTCAACACGATCCGATGAGATTTTCACACGAATCGGGTAAGAAGTTGATATTTTGATTTTCAAACGGGGTTTTTCTGAATTATAACGGGTGATAACAGATTACAAGGACGGGTATTTAGTACTTTAGGATTTTTAAAATTACTTTTTCTCTCTCTTCTTAGAAAATCCAAATTTTGGTTATTTGATTGGGCTTCTAATGATGATAATTTGTCTTTTTATCCGGTTATTTGAAAAATGAAAATAAAATTATAAGAGTAATTATACAGTATTTCCAGTTCATCAGCATCCAACTTTTTACTGGGGAAGACTTCTCCACCGCATCAAAAATGTCCTGTCCCGTCGTGGTCCCATGCATTGCAGCCACATCCAACAGCTCCTCAGTGATAGAGAGGTCCGACTTTACGCCTCTAATAAAAATTGATAACTGCGCTGTGTCCGTGTTATCTGAGCTTTCATCAACAGCCAATGAAAAAGCTGTGTAGCTGCGTGTCTCCTCGGCCAGCTGTGTTGTAAGATTTTCTGCTAGTTCCTTCACTCGGCCGGCGATGGTGTTTCTTGATAAACTGACATTTTTAAAAGTCTGTAACTGGTCGGGACACACCTGCTCACAGACCTTCAGCATGCACTGCTTCAAAAACGCTCCCTCTGAAAAAGACATACCGGTCTTTCTCCTTGAAGCACGAACAAGTATTCGCCTTCCCATCTTTCTTGAAACAGTCTTCCGTCTGCATCAACTTTTCTCTTTCTGGACATTTTGGGATCATTATTTATATCTCAATTCCACTTGTTGGCATGGACACTGCCGCGGCCAGCGCACGTAGAAAGGCATTGTGGGAAATGTAGTTTTTGGTCAAAGCACGCTCTTCATTTCTTTTTTGGTATTTCTTTTTAGACACTCAAAACTTTTAAGCTCTCGCGGGCCACATTAAATGACATGGTGGGCCACATCTGGCCCGCGGGCCTTGAGTTTGACACATGTGCTCTAGGCTCTCAGATCATCACGCCTCCCATTGTTCATGAGTTCTACATATCAGGATGTTTGCAAGATGTATGCAAAGTAGGTGTTCTGCATATGAGCGCTTGGTGCAGTTCTATGTATGGACATGTTATTCGTAAAATAGGGAACCGGTGGTTCCTGTTGAACTGCATTTGACCTAGATAGTGCATGCATCTTTTTGCAATATGTTTGTGTGCTGGTGTTGTGACTTACATATACATGTTGTTTGTGCAATCCGGCCTTTAAGCGGGCTTCACCCATTATTACTATGCATTTATAGTTCAAGTGTAATTTCATTCTAGCATGAGCGTGTATGTTTATATATTAATACTCAACAGAGGCACAGATGAAACAGGTTGTGACATAGAGGTCACATAGTTTTTTTCACAGAAAGCTGAGCATATCTCTTTGGTCTTGTGGTGTTTTCATCTCAAAGCACTTCTGTGGAGAAACAAACATCTTCTCTGACAATAAGGTATTCCGAGATTTTCATCAAACTAAATCAATTGTTAATATTATAGGATTTACCACTGTATGTTGTAATGGCAAAATATAATGATGCGATAATGTTTTATTAGATTAATGTCTGAAGCTAAACATGACTTTAATTCTGAGGAAGTTCCATGACACCAGCTGTGTGGGAACCATCTGAGCAGAAGAATCTCAGAGCACCTCTTCTCTTTGATCCCATTTGTCGTTGCATAACACGGCTGCGTGAAGGAAGGAGAAGGTGTAACTGTCTCCAGCGCTACTCCTTAATGTAAACAAACATCTGCTGTAAGCACCTTGAGTCTTCCTTTGGGTCTGGGACCTCCTTGCCTGCCTCTATCCTTTTAGCATAACAAAACCAACGAGTTAACCCTGTCAATGTATAAATATAGCTGTGTTGCTCTCAAACATTAAGAAGAAGCTTGCCGCTGGCTGTCGATGTGTAGCTGTATAGTCTTCTTCCTTGGAAGAAATAAACGAAAAGTGCATCTAAATACCCTCCCTGCACAGCCCTCCTTCATGGGCAGCTTGATGTCAAGCCGGTGCACAGAAGGAGCTCCGAGCACCAGAGTTCCAGCCTTCAATCCGGCTATTATAGCCCACTCATGTCGCCAGCTCCATTGTAGCGCACACTGACGTCATAGTAACTGTAGAACCAGCCTCCAGAGTCCTCGGGTCACCGGAGAGTGGCAGCTCAACGACGGACACCACATCCAAGCAACACCTATCATTTTGGGCTGGACGAAAGACGCTGGAAACCCCGAGATGTGGCACCCTCTGATTCTGCGTTGGAGGATAAAAATAAGAAGGGGGGTGGGGAGGGCTCAACAAGACGCACCTGCACAATTATTCCAACATGAAAAAAAAAAAGTAAATTAACACTTGAATCTTATTTTTGTCCCCCTTGCAGGCATTTCAGTACAATAATATATGTATATATACATATATATATAATAATCTATGATGAGCGGGAAGACTATGTAGAATATTATTTACTTATTGCGGTCATAAAAAGAGGGAGTGGGTATCTGGTGAAGAGATTATATATACATCTATATATATATTATTCCTCTTAGAGCAAAACCAAAGCTGCCACAAGCTGCCTAGCCTCATCTAGCCTCATCTCCCGACTGCCCCATGTCTCAAGTCGAAGTGTCCCTGAGCAAGACACCTAACCCCTAATTGCTCCCTGGGCAATGTGAAAAGTCATGGGTTTAAAGTGTAATGTAAGTCGCTTTGGATAAAAGCGTCTGCTAAATGACCTGTAATGTAATGTAATATAATCTTGCTTGATGAAATGCTTGGCGTTCAAAACACAATAGATTGTAAAATGTCCTTCTTTCCTACTCATCTGCTCAAAAGGTTGGCACTATAAGTCCAAGAAAATATTATGAGACCAAGAATCTGCGGTTAAAAAGTAATACATTACAAACATAATGCCTACAAAAACAGTGTATACCGTAACATGATATTTCTAACTTTTATTTTAACTTCATGATTGCATTTGGTGTATAATGAGGACTATAGATATAAAGTCGGTGATGTCGAAAGCTGAAATAAGTGTTGAAAAATTAAAGGGATAAATTAATTCCCTGATGCATCCACAGGAGGGTTTTCATTTTCCCAAAAGGCTTTCTAATAAAGTCCTTTTCAAAATGTTTCAGTCATTTACTTGATCTAATTTATCATGCAAAAGGCATATGGTTTCATAAAATGACAATAACAAAAATCTACAATGTAACAGCCAGTCAGTATGTAATAAATGCACATTTGTGTGTGCTGCTTCTGCGTATCAGGAGTAGTCCTGTAAATGAGAGGTAAGGTGTTAAACATTCAACAAAAGCAATATCAACCAACCCTGCTCCATATTATCTTGAACTTATAGTTTCTTCTGTATAATAAAGCAAATAACAAAGAGGAAGATATCTTTTCCTGCAGTTATCTTTTGTTATCTTTTGTTTCACAGTTGTCACAGTAAATATTGTTCCAAAGGTCGTAACAGTCCACACAGGTTTACAACCCTCACTCACTTCAGCGAAGACTGAACAAAGGTAGGAAGCAAGATGAAGCGCCTGCTGTTCTGGGAGATTGTGTTTGCTGCAGTCTACATCAGCCATTCAAATCCTCCAGGTACTAACTTTTTTCTTCTTGCTTAAAACTGTAATTAAAAATGTTTATAGACCAGATGGTTAGTTTTCAGGAAAAGCCAGGAAACTGTCTGTCATTGTGTTTTTAGATAGCTGTAAATAGTTGGATTCATCTTTTACATGATGGTCATTATTTTTCATTTTAAAGAAAAAGTTCCAGTCTCTTCAGAGCAACATGGCGGTTACAATGGCGGAAGACAAGATTAGGGGGAATCATCATAGAGAACTGTGATGTTCAAACAGAAATTGATGGACTTGATGGGGGAAAAAAAACATTCCAGTACAATGTGTGAGTCTAGAATGCATCTCTCAGCAAAATATAATCATATTTGATCTTTTTAATGACTTTATGTGGATGTTGGAACAAGCCAATGAAGCGAACAATGATGGTCTTTAGATTTGACCAAAAAAAAGGACAGATGGTATTTACTGTATTTTTACTCTCCTGGAAATGTGGTTGACACTCTACTACATTACATTACATTATATTACATGTCATCTGGCTGATGCTTTTAATCGAAGCAACTTATAATAAGTGCATTCAACCATAGGTTACAAACTCAGAAGAGCAAGAAACAAGAAAGTGCAATTTCATCAAATAAGCCAATTTACAATTTGCTATAGATAAGTGGCGTTATAAGTACAATATATGTGCTACAATTTGTTAGTCTTTTAGTCGAGGTAGAGTCTAAAGAGGTGTGTCTTTAGTTTGTGGCGGAAGATGTGAAGGCTCTCTGCGGTCCTGGCGTCTTCAGAAAGCTCGTTCCACAATTTCAGAGCAAGGACAGCGCTACAGCACTTTTCTACGGTGGTGCAAAACACAATGGCAAATAGGAAAACACAACGACAAATAAGAAGGCACAACGGCAAATATGAAAAGTGTCCTACTAGTGTTTCACCATTGTTTTACCGTTGTTTTGTTGTTCAATTATATTTAGGTGTTGTAAATAGAAGTAAATAAAAGTGGGCGGGGGGGGCGGTGCCGCGTTTGCTACGGCCAACGAGGTGCGGGACAAGGGACCGAAATGCATGACTGTCAAGCTCAATGCGAGCCCGGAGATCCATTTATCATTTCCTGTTAAAAGACAGACAGTCCGTCTGTCCAATCAGAAGGGTCCGTCCTCCGCTATCTGCTATAAGGCCCTTCCCTTTCTGTAAGAAGTTAATTTCGTTGTGTTTTCCTTTTTGCTGGTGTGCTTTCCTATTTGCCGTTGTGTTTTGCTCTTCAGGGCCACCGTAGAGCCTGAACATGACGAGCTGACACTATGTCAACCTACAACTGCATCTCATCTTCCAGCCTAGCAAATTATTTAGCACCTAGTAATAGCTGAATGTTAGTTACTAAGTTAGATTCCTTCAAAAATCAAGTGCATTTTTTGTTAAAAAACACTTTGAAACGACTTCCTTTCTGTGAAATCTATGAAGGGCGGGAAGACTGAATATGTACCTCAGATGACAGTCTTTATTGCTGTCATAAAAAGAGGGAGTGGTTATCTGGTGACGAGATTAGTTAAACATTAGTTATGTGCTGATGAGGTGAAACACCTATCATACAGAAATTGCACAATGTTCAACTCACCTGCTTACACTGTAGAGTATCACCATTTGCAAACAACATCTATCAAACTAACAGTTGTTCTTTTGTACCTAACAGATGTCTGTTGGTTGCAACCTGAGGAAGGTGAAGGATCAAGCTTCATCTTTGCTTTCTTTTATAACCCCATCAAGGATCAGTGCAATCCTTTCATTTACAAAGGTCAAGCAGGAAATGGCAACCATTTTCTAAGTGAAAGAGAGTGCATAAGGAACTGTTCTGCCAATAGAGAGATGATCTACCCGGTGGATGGTGAGATGATTTTGAATATTAATGTGATTAATCTTCATTCACTGCTCTGTTTTCAGTATCCACAGTATCATATTAAACTATAACGGCTGCATAAATGTGTATAATCAACCCAGTCCTCCTCCTTGCTGTAAGAACTTTGGAACATGACTAATGAGGGGGAGTTTTATGGCCTGATGGACCATGAGAGGAAGAGCGTCTTGAAATCTGCCTCAACCAAACTTTTACTGTGTCTAAGTAGGACCATGCAATATTAATACTATTGCTGCTATTTTGTGAGTACTTTTAATAAATCCATAAATTGTTGAGTTTTACTTTTCCCCTCTTATCTCTTAATTTCTTCAGAGAAGATACTCGTCAGCAAGAGTGTTAGCAATACGTCACCAAGTGGCGGCAGACTGGCACAAATAATGACAGATGTGAATAAATACACCTGAGGCTTCAGTGTATTGATTGAAAAATGATTAATCATCTAATTCTAAAGCAGAGCAGTTTCATACATAATCAATCATATTTCTGTTGAAAGATGTTTATAACAATAATTATAAACTGCAACACTGGTAATGACCACTTCAATGGGGATGATGTTTTCTCTTCACAGCGACCAAAGCTTGCCGCTTTAAAATGGCCCAAGGTAAATGCAGTGCTACGTTTTTGAGATACTACTACGATGCTGTTCATGACAAATGCAAGAAATTCCTGTGGTCTGGGTGCGTTGGAAACGGAAACAGGTTTTTTGACCAACTCAGTTGCAACAACACCTGTTCTGGCATCCACGGTGAGCACGAATATCTCTCAATTCATGTGTAAAAAACATTGGGTCAGTAATGACACCATACAAAATAAATTGTATATAACAATGTGTTTTTTATCTTGTTGATGTTAATTGTTTGGGTTCTTAGATGATGGTGTGGAAGAGGAGGAAGAGGAGCCGGACACTCCTATTGGTCAGTAGACAACGAAACCAAGCAGAACAGATCTCTGTTTCTGTTGCGTTTCTTCAAGACCAAACTGTTTTTTTAAACATCTTACATCGGTCTCAAACAAGTTGACACTATCCCCATGAAACTGTTACGTCTTATAGCTCAAGTGTTCAATCTATTTAAATGAATCCTACTCAACTGTGCTCTTCCGCAGCAATCATCTGTGGAGTTCTGCTCGGCATCATTCTTGTCGCAATCTTGATAACTGTGATCGTCTTGGCCGTTCAGTCAAAGTAAGACCACTTTTCTTTGTCCTTACTTTTACATAAGAATTATTTCTGAAATCCAATGGCATTATTTACACTTAGTGGCTACTTTCCTGTATTTCTATTAATATTTATTGTTCCTCTTTAGGAAAAAGAATCCCAAAACGAAGGCACAAGGGAAAAGTAAAGAATCTCAGTCCGGCACACCTCTTCAGGAGAGTGAAATTGAAATGGCGTAGACAACATGTCACCATGACGGTAACATTAATCAGCATAGTTGTGTATTGTAACACTAATAGTCTAAATACCAAACACAACTGATCAACGCATTTGAGTTTTCATTTTTTTTGCTGACTGATATCCATTACATTCCTATTTTGTTTAAGGTTTTTGTTTCACCTACAATACTTGCAGAGTGATGTTTCTTAAATTGTGTTTTTCGCTGTGGCCTTATAGTCTACTTTCATTGAGTAATTTAAATAAATCTTATATCAAAGTGTAATCAAAAGAAATCACAGTGGCAAAAATTAGTAAATTGATTGATCAATTTAACTGAAACCATTATGATCAAGTGGGGAATCGTTGAATTATTTTCTCCAGGAAGACTGCCAATGGTTTTCTTTGTTCAAACCATTTGTTATTGGAATGATGTCCAGCTGCTTTGCTGTGATGTACAGAACATAGTTGGGTCAGCTGGAAAAAACTAATTGGAAATTGTGACAGACATTTCTCACAATGTTTATACACTCACACTCAACAACAAACAGGAGCAGAACTGCAATATTCTCAAATTAGGTACTCATATGCTTGTGCAAAATAACCCCAATGCTGTCTTACGATGTAGTCTTGTGACCATCTTAGTTTTTCCAGAATATAACTTCATTACCTTGCTCAAAGATATGCTGAAAAGTATCTGAAGTCTTCTGAAGGAACGTGCCAATTCTAAACCCAACATATATATTTAGAGGTGTTTTTGTGAAGTGCATGCCCTCTCTTCTCTAGTTGAAGCGGTTCATAAGACATTATCATTGTCCTCATTAATTTGACTTTTAACATTTCCAGTCCTTCAATAAAAGTTTATCAGTAAATAAAACACAACATTTCTTAACCTTGAAGTTATTCTGTCATATAGATTTGAACAAACTTGTTTTGTTATTTTATAAAGTAATCATGCATTTTGGAAATGTAACGCATTGCACCTGTGTTGATGGAATGCATTTTCACGCAACACTTCTAAAGTAATTTAAGCTTTACAACATTACTTAATTCCAGGCACGTGCACAGCTGGACCCCTAGTGCGGGGGTGTCAAACTCATTTTCACCAAGGGCCACATCAGCATAATGGCTGTCTTCAAAGGACCAGATGTAACTTATAAATGTAACTAAATGTAATCGAATGTAATGTGTTTTAACTTTAACTTTATGACTTTATGCCATCAGTGTGGTTTGTGTCTGTAAGGTTCAGTAATAGACAGCTAACATTTGTTTATTAACAGACTGTATAGGACATGAACTAAGCGGAAGTTAAACGAGAGCGTACAGCTGGTCAGAATACGCATTTTCTTCTAGTTTTGAATTAAGTTAATGATGCTGTGATGCTTCAACGAGCTATTAGGAGTGATTGGCGGAGTTTTGAAACCAGGAGCGCTTGTAGAGCACATATGAGCCGCTGCAGCGTAGTGGGGGGGCAGCGGCTTTAGCGGAGCGTGTGCAGACGCATAACCCCGACAGTACATGCAGGTTATGCTGTTTACATGCACGACCATTGCATGTCCAACGGTGTGTTTTAACTCTATTATATGCCATCAGTGTGGTTTGTGCCTGTAAGATTGAGTAATAGACAGCTGACATTTGTACATTAACTGACTGTATAGGACGTGAACTAAGCGGAAGTTAAACAAGATGCCGGTTGTTGTTCAGTTGTTGTTGTTTTTTCAAGCTCTCAGTACGATGTCATACATTATATAGTATCATAAAAAAACACCAAAAACACGAACATATCAGACATATTTTGACTTTGACTTTACAGAAAGCAGTTTTAAATAAGCACAAATGAATGAGGTTTCGGTTTAACGAGTAATGTGTTAACTAGTCACTCAGCATGCGTCGTGGTAACCTTAAAGTTACTTTCAGCTGATGGAAAAATGAACAGAACAGCCTTCAGTTTGACTTAATTGAATGTGGATTTCAGATGTAGAAGTATGTAAGTTAGTAATCTTTACTACAGATTATATACTGGTTTTACAGTAATGATTTTGTTTATCTATTGGTAGTTTACATGACATAACATTTTTTTGCTGCTTAATCACCTGTTAGAAAGACTTTGCTCTCGATTGGAAAATATTTTGGGACGCATGCCTCTAGATCTGGACTTCTTAGAGTTCACTTGCACACAGGAATTTGTGTTTTTAAATGCTGTATCCTCTCAGGTAGTTGTCCGTCCAGCAATTTTAGATGCACTTACTCAGTTGCACAGTCTTATAAACATAGAAAAAGAAAAAAGTAAGCAACATATTGTTGTTGTGCAGTTTGAGGAAGGACCAGCTGGGCGACAACGAATGGCCATATCCCCAGACTACCTATGCAACCTTCTTGAACTTAGTCTGTCTGCCCCCTGTATCGCTAAACTCATGGGGATTTCCAGAAGCACTGTGTACCGGCGCATGGCTGAGTATAATCTCTCAATAAAGGCACTATACAGCACCATGACAGATGAAGAGTTAGACCAGTGTGTGAGAGAGATTAAATCCAGACAGCCTCATTCTGGATACCGAATGGTGAAAGCACTTCTGCAAGCCAGAGGACTACGGGTGCAGTATAACCGTGTCAGAGCTTCCATGCACCGTGTTGACACCACTGGTGTCATCTCCCGTATGCTCCATTTAGGATGCATTGCTCGACAGACCTACTCAGTTCCAGGACCCCAGTCTTTAATTCATATTGATACAAACCATAAATTTTAAGATTAGGACCGCACTAAAATCATCCTGTGTATGCATCAAGAAAAGAAAAGACTACAGCAAATTCAAGCAGAGTCAGAAGTAAGAATAGCAGAGGCGAGAGTAAACGCATACGAGAGCTTTGAACATGACTTCAGAGACTGTCTAAAAGAGACTGATCTCACAGTTGAATCCAAAAGCCAGCTTAATCCAATGGCCAACGCGTACCAGCCTCCACAAGCGCACGCCAAAGCGCTAGCATCTCATGAGAAAGATAGCCTTACTCAAGCACTCATTAACTCACTCAGTATGAATCGCCTTCCTGCTCCTGAGACACCAAAGTTCTCTGGCGAAGCCCTAAAGTATGTAGACTGGAAGATGTCCTTCATGGCCCTCATAGACCACCAGCCTCTCCCCGCTCATGAAAAAATGTTTTACTTAAAAAACTATCTGAGTGGAGAAGCACGTAAAGCTGTAGAGGGATTCTTCTATAGACACTCAGAAGAAGCATATCATGGGGCCTTAAAGATCCTGGAAGAAAGGTACGGAAACCACTTCATTGTGCAAAAGGCTTTTAGAGACAAGCTCATGAAGTGGCCCAAGGTTGGTACCAGTGATCCTGCTGCACTTCGAGAGTTTGCTGACTTCCTGCAAGGATGCGTTGAAGCGATGCCTCATGTGAAAGGATTGGCTTACATTACATGTTCTCTGCTTACATTAACACAATTTTACCATTTATTGTTTAAACATTTTTACAAATTACTGAGTTTAAGAGAGACTCTAATCAGAGTCTGCAACACATCACACATAGGCACACAGCAGCAGCACACCTGAAGATGCACATTAACATGTACATTAGCACACACACCCATGGGTCTTGGGCAAGAGACAAAGGACAGGACGCTGTCTGTGGAGCCGGTCTGGTAAGACAAAAGGGAGTCGTTCCGAGAGAGGTGCGACCCATAGGGACGTAGAGACGGTCAACAGTCCAGTGGGTGAATATATGTAAATAGTTAGCACAGAGGGAGACGTTTAAATGAGTGGGAAATAATGTGATTTGAGCCAAATCTGTAGACCTTGTTGTAAATAATTTGTTATTTTCTCTTAAACTTAGTGATAGGCTGCTGAAGAAATTACCTGACTGGATCACACGAAGATGGAGCAGAGTTGTCACGGAAAGGTTGGACGAATCCGGGTGTATATCGATGCAGTTATGATTGTATTTGATGTAATGTAATCAACTGGAATGCATGCATTTAATACTTGCACAACCACTGATATTGACTAAGGATCATTCGAAATCCCGAGTTACATTGAACTCACCAGAAGACCACTCCCAGGAGGTGTGGACACTGACTTTCACACCTTTAAGCATTGTTATAAATACCTGTAGCAACCATTGTTCTCGAGTTCACTGGTGGAGGCGACAGATGGGCACTAGGGATGGTCAAAAGGACTGACCTGGGGCCTGTTGGTCGCTGAGACCAGCGGCTCCTCAGCTGAGATGTTCTTTTTACCACAACGCCATCTCTTTTATTAAATACATTTGATTTGAACCTTTCGATCAGCGATGACCTCTGTCCGTCCGGCGTTTCTTCATTTTTGAACACAACAATTTGGTGACCCCGACGTGATGGAGAGCATTGGACGGACGGAGGAACAGCTGATCTGAACAAAGCCCAGCGATCGATTTTCTTCACTCACACGGCGCCATCGAAAAGGTAACCGGCAACTAGTTGTTTTAAAACCAAAATGCTGTATAGTTTATCATAGAACATTTAGGTGTGAGTGGACAAGATACGATGTTTTGAGGTAAACTACATTTTAGAGAAAAAATAATTTTTCTCTTAGTTTGGATGGCCGTTGTGATAAAAAGCACATTGTATATAGTGTTTGTTTGGACGTCTTTTGTATGAGTTACCGACGAAGTTTCGGTTGTGTAGCGTTAACGTTAAGTGAATGGGTGGCGTTATTTCACTGTATCTGTCATAGAAGGAATGAATGGATACCTAGTATAGGCCTCAACCGGATGAGGGTAAACGTATAGCTAACTTATAGATTAGTTACGTAATGCATAGTGCCTGAAGCTCTAACAGAACCAAGTCCCCGAGGCGTATTGAGATCGTGATCGTATTGTCAATACTGGGAGAGGGGACGAGGTTCGCCGGCTAGTGGCGACTGCCGTGCTGTCTCGATAAGCTCTCTCACGTTCTGTTAGAAAGCACAATAAATTAAAGTATGGACTAGATGACGCCTATATGGCTAGAAAACAAGATTATAAATTGGAATCGGTGAAGACAGAGCTACGAGCCATAGTGCCAAGAACTAACTAAATTTGCGGAATAATTGTATGCAGGAACAAGGCCAGAGTCATGGCGACATGGTCAGCATTGAATTAGATTGGAAAAAACGACCCAGATTGCAAAATTAATGGTAAATTTACAATACATAACGGTCGGTGAATAACGTTGCGAACTTGTATATAATTGTATGTTGCATGTTTCGAAAAGAATGAAGCCGGATTAAGGATTTGATTGGGGCCTGGTCTTGGGGAAAACGGAGCACATGTTTTTGGAACATTACAGGATGGCGGGCGGAGATAAATAGAGAAAACAGTTAAAAGATGGCTGAGAAAGAAATTCTCAGCTTGGTCTACAGAGGGGACAACAATGACTTGTTATCCACCATTACTAGGGGTGGAGAACATGTGCTTTGGAGATTTCCAAAATGGCAGCCAGCTACAGTTAAAAGAAGAAACACAGATGTAACATAGTTTTTGTATTTCCCACCTCCACTCTGTATTTCCATTAAACAGTGTCTCCCCTTGTCCCCATTTTCCAAATGATCCTAACATTTTTTTTCTTCCTCCATTCTTAGGACCATGTGATTTTTGCTTGCATTACAAACGGTCTATGGACTTTTTCTAGGCTCTATGTGATTCTTTATGTTTTAACGTGTATATAATTGTTCTCTGCTTACATTAACACAATTTTACCATTTATTGTTTAAACATTTTTACAAATTACTGAGTTTAAGAGAGACTCTAATCAGAGTCTGCAACACATCACACATAGGCACACAGCAGCAGCACACCTGAAGATGCACATTAACATGTACATTAGCACACACACCCATGGGTCTTGGGCAAGAGACAAAGGACAGGACGCTGTCTGTGGAGCCGGTCTGGTAAGACAAAAGGGAGTCGTTCCGAGAGAGGTGCGACCCATAGGGACGTAGAGACGGTCAACAGTCCAGTGGGTGAATATATGTAAATAGTTAGCACAGAGGGAGACGTTTAAATGAGTGGGAAATAATGTGATTTGAGCCAAATCTGTAGACCTTGTTGTAAATAATTTGTTATTTTCTCTTAAACTTAGTGATAGGCTGCAAGTTGTTGAGTGTGGATATGAGATGTACAGTGCACGGCACATCTCATACAGCATCTTAATGACGGAAGCAAATTTTTAGATCATAGGGCGTAACAGCAGTACAGAATGGGAAACTTTGTTACAGACCATCATCCAGTAATGATTTTATCAACAAACCATACACACATGTAACTACACATATGATATATTGATATCATTTTCATTAGGAATAAATGAATGTTCTAGGTCACTAACAAACCATGAGATGAGTTTTGAGTTCACAGGTAGAGAACGCAAGTAAGCTGCCCTGACGACTGAGGATGCAAGAATGCAAGTCCAATTGTGATGGAAAGTCACAAAGACAATGGAAGAGCTCGCCAGCCAGCGTCGAACTTTGAGACAATGCAAAGAAGTCTGAAGCTGACCTGATGCTGATTATGATACATTTATTTTGAGACATGTGTTAAAATAACACATGTCTCAACAGGAGGGATGTAGATATAGAAATATTTTTCCAAATTGAACGATGGGAAAACTTAACAAAATAAATTACTAAAAGAAAGATTTAGATACTGGAGGAAACGTATTGTGAACAG